ATCCATACTCCATTGCTATCCATTTGTAATCATACACTTCCCATCCCCAACTCCTTGCAATTCTTGGTATGCTTCTTTGTCTTTTTCAGGATGTCATATCACTGGAAACATACAACATGTAACCTTTTGTGGAGTCAGAGTGTTGGTTAGAGGAAGTACACGCCATTGGGCACATCTCTGCCACCACGCACAGGTTTTTCCATACTTGAATGTTTTAAACTTTTAAGACATTTAACAGGAATAATTCATCATTTCAAGTGTTTGAATATCTTTGGAGACTTGATTTATAGTTCTACAAAAGAAACACCATGGCAGTTAATAATGGAGAGGTTCAGATGAGGGTTTTTAGTTGTACCAACCCTATCTTAAAATTTTATCAATAGATATTTTTCTAACATTTTAAGGGTAATTGTATTGATCAAAATTCACTTTAGCCATATTACTTGATATGATTACTGTTGTGGCCCGTTTACAGGACAGAGGATGAATACAGAACATAAAACACAAACGAGCAGAACACAAAGAAAAATGCAGACACACATACAAACGATTGACTCGAGTAATAATACACCGGATCCATTTTACTTTTATACTCTAAAAGATTAAAGTTAGTTCCTTGTACGTAACCACCTAGGCATTGCAGCAATGGCCATAAATTCTGGAATACATAGCCTTAGGGAAGCAGATATCTCCTGGCTCAAGGTTTCCAGGTGGTTTCTCTAGGCACTAGGCATAGATAAAGGACCGGGATTAGCAAGGATGGGCAAGGTGAGCCACAGGGGGCATGTCTCATCCCCAGCTTCTCTGTGCCTGGCTTAGGTCATCCCTCCCTTGAGGGGTCTTACCCATCATTGACTAACCAGTTATCTTATGGGGTGTACGCAGCACCCCATAAGATTCCTGTCCCCAATCACAGGAACAATATGTTTATCATGTGGCCTCCAGATCCCCAATGCCGTGGGGTGGGGCTGCTCTTGCTACTCGCAGCTCAGGTCCTTTGTTATGCCTCTAGGCAACACCTTTGTTTATCACAGGGAGCCTGTCTGGGACAGATTACTTTCAAATACTCTGGGCAGAACATGTACATTACTCACTAACTTTAATTCTTAAACTAGGAAAATATATGTCAGTCCCCTATAATTACTATTTAGGTTTTCCCACAATTCTTTTAGTTTATTGTACTAACTATGGCTTTATAGGGTTGAATTATAGCATTAGGGTGGTTAGTGCTTCAAATAAAGCCTACATCTAAGCAAATCATTTTATTAGCAAAAGAACAAAGTAGGGTAAGTTAGAAATATGTAACTGTCTATTATTAAAGTGAGAAAATACAGCGAAAGGACAAAAAATGCAAAGGAGAGTATGATAATTTGTTGCTCCCATCATCTAAAGAATTCTGTTCCATTAGACTTGGATGGAGCTGTCTAGTTTATGAAATTATACTTGTTTAAGGATCTTAGCAGTCATCTTCTGTGCATATCTGCTTCCAAAGATTCTCCAGATAACCTCAGTTTAAGATCTTTAATGTGAGTAATTTTTTAATTCTTGTCATTTAAAGACGGATGATGGCATACTAATGAATAAAAGTAACCACAGATCAACTCTTTGTGCTTTATTTGCTGAATTGGTCAGAAGGTCATTTTTACACAGTTCACAGGTAGTCTTTCTCTGCAATTTTTCTCAGAATAAGGTCACCCAGATTTAGGTAAAGACTGATTAAATAGGCTAGGCGCGGTGGCTCATGACTGAAATCCTAGCATCTTGGGAGGCCAAGGCAGGAGGATTGCTTGAGGTCAAGAGTTTGAGATCATCTTGAGCAAGAGTGAGACGCCGTCTCTACAAAAAAATAGAAAAATTAGCTGGGCAGGGTGACCCATGCCTATGGTCCCAGCTAGTTGGTAGGCCGAGGCAGGAGGATTGCTTGAGCCCAGGAGTTTGAGGTTGTAGTGAGCTATGAAGACACCACTGCAATCTAGTAATCTGGGCAATGGTGTGAGAACCTGTCTTAAAAAAAAAGAAAAGAAAAGAAAAGACTGATTAAATAAAAGGCCAGGAAAGGCAACCTGTACAAGTTCATGCAAGGACTGAAAATCATAGTTTTATTTATCTAGTTAAATGTGTGAAAGAATAAAATATGCATGGTTTAGGAAATTCGTAGTAATATGGACCTACCAGTGACCAATTCATGAAAGAAAGAATAAATATGCATGGTTTAAGAAATTTATAGTAATATGGACCTCCCAGTGACCGATTCTACAAAAGAAACATCATGGCAATTAATGATGGTTCAGTTCAGAGTTCAGTTGAGAGTTTTTAGTTGTACCAACTCTATCTTAAAATTTTATCAATAGATATTTTTGTAACATTTTAAGGGTAATTTTATTGATCAAAATTCACTTTAGCCATATTACTTTATATGGTTACTATTTAGGTTTTCCCTAAATTTAGGTTTTCCCTAAATAGTATAATATAATATAACTTTGTGAAGGGGAAGAATGCAGGGACATGAGAACTAAGGATACTAATACATTGGGCCATGGGAATTCAAAGATGTCTGATAAAGTTATTAATTTAAATTTTAAACATTCCATCTGTTTCCATGTTTTCAGAGAACCAGGAGGTGGTAAAAGAAAGTGAAGTTACTGAGTGAGGGCAAAACCTTATATAACTGTCCCCAAAATATATGTTCCCCTATGTATACATAATTTGAAATGTGACAGGTAGGAAACACAAAATCAAATTGATTTTTAGCTATTAGCTGCTGTGTCTTTCTGACAAGAGACTATTTCAACACATGTAGAAAAGAAAAAAGGCTATTACCAATGTATACTCATAACAGACACAGGGAATATAATTGTGTACAACCTTTTTGGAGATACCCCAGTGTTTCCTTAAGACAGTATTCCAGTTCATATCCCATTTTTACAGTTTTCATGGCATTTTCTTGGTTCCAAAAAACACATGAACTGGCTATGTTCCCTGTTGTCCTAGAAAAGTTTTCCCCTAAGTGTTTGTTTAATATGGCAGCCATATGTCCCTCCTGCAATGAGCTGTCTCTAGATGGCTTTAGCAAGGTTTTGGAGATCATTTGGTTCCACAAAGAAGCCTTTTTGGCTTTGATATATATATGATCCTCATTGATAAAACAGATCAATAGTTTATTGAGGATGAAATTACTCAACTTTTCCATGGATTTGTCTTTATATTCTATAAGAGGTACTAGCATAAGTACTTTAGTCAGAAAGGCATATTTAGCACGATCCTCAGCTCATGCATTTCCCCCCTAGCTTCTTATAGCATCTTTCATACTGTGGAACTTTGTCTTTATTACAAAAATTCTCACAGTAGCATAAAGACATCAAATAATTTTGTATTTGGTGTCCAGTTTTATAGAGATAGGTGAGAAAGTTAATAAAAGGTTAAAAAGGTTAAGAATCCTCATTGTCTCCACAGTAGTTGGAAGTAGTGAACTACATTAAAACACCTCGACTATAACTCTATATATTTTTTGTAATTTGACATGCTCAAGAAAGAGTCACAAATTCAGCTACTTGAATTAGTTTTCCTTCTCTTAAGGTATTGGATTTTAAAATGGAGTCTGGCATAATCAGCTGTATATTATCCCTTTTAAATTTGAAGATAAGACATTGGAAAACAAAATTAGTTTAGAAGTAGATATGATATTGTCCAAAGTATCTTTTCTGGAATGGTCGCTTCTTGAATAACAGAAGCATAATTAAGAGAGTCTTTTGACTGATAAATGTACTAGAACTGAATACTGTAAGAAGAAATTTATAATATTTCATAAACTAACTGGTAAAAAACACTGGGTATTTTTAGAGAGAACTGTTATACATGTGTGTTTTTATCAGATTTAATGGTGATTTGTGAAAGATGTGAAGATGCTTCAACCAATTTAGACAAGGTCGAAAATATTTTGACACAAGGAGGATAAACTATGGCTGCTGTATTATGAAATAGGCTATGATAGGTAGTGAGTTTTTGTTGTTTGCATGTTGTTGAGTAATATCCCTAGGGCATGGTCTTCTTTGTAGTGTTCACACACAAAGAAAGTTTGTCACAATCAGTCGTGTTATGATCGGCTCTCCTGAGGAGATGTATGGGGTTATCTAGGATACATCCCATGCAGAGCTGGGCAGAGAGAGCTGGGCACCGTCTTGTCGTGGCTCATTTAGGGCTTCAATTGGGGTAATGGAAAAAGATAAATTCAAGGATTTGATAATGTAATGACCACACTCTGGTGTTTATTCTGACCTCATGAACAGAGTTGGGCTGTCAAACTAAACAGAGAAGTGAAGGGGACCTTAATGGCAGGACTCAATGTCTGAGGGCTTTGTTGTAAACTCTTCAGCAAAGGGAGATTAGTATTTTCTGCTGTTTTGTCCTAAGATAGGCACTGAAGAGACATTTGAAGCGAGGAGGAATATTGTTATATCAGTAAGGAAGTTGAAAAGTCTGAAAAGATTAGTTCAAGCAGCTTTGCTTTTTTATTATATTGTGATTAATTTCCACCTTAGAAACAACAGCATACATAGATGTGAGGATACATGATTATTACATCTTACATTGTTTCCATAATCCATTATATTTGTATTTTTAAATTTTTATTATTTATCTTAATTGAGAAGTTTTTATTTTTTATGAGTACATAATAGTTGTATATACATGCAATATTTTAAAATAAATGCTAACCTCCCAGTTCCATCACAGATATAATGACTGAATATAGCAGTTGGTTGAATTATCAATTTTCTTTTCAATATATCTATGTTTATTTTCAGATTTAATTGTTATCATATTAAGTGTTGGTTAATCCAAAAGGAACATTGCCTTGGGTAAGATCCTTGGCCAGTACTTAGAGAAATTTGACATGACACGCACCAACTCGTTACACCAGGGAACTTCTGTTTCCTGTTTTGGGGCAGCAGCAGCAGCAGCACATAGCCCAGTAATTCTTCTCACACCCTGTCAGGCTCACCTCACAGTGCAGAGCCCTGGAATTGAAGCGGAAGAAGATACTTTTCCTCCAGAGGAAGAAGCAAACATGTTGCTCTGCAGCCTGCTGAAGGTGGTCACAGCTTCAATGTGGCTAGGTAGGGATGGCCCAGTGGGAACATGCTTCCTCTGTGATCTAAGACTGGGGGTTCAGGAATTGTCTCATGGGGATGTTGGGAAGGAGGGTAACAGGGTGTAAAAATAGAATCTCCTTGTCCCACACCACTTATCTCTAAACTTTCTGATTCTGTCTTTTTTCCTTTAGGATCTGGTATGGCCCAGAAGGTAACCCAGTCCCAACCAGCAATGTGGGTGCAGGAGAAGGAGGCTGTGACCCTGGACTGCACATACGACACCAGCACAAGTGTGGCTAGTTATGCTCTATTATGGTACAAGCAGCCCAGCAGTGGGGAGATGATTTTGCTTATTCATCAGGACTCCTATAAAGAGCAAAATGCAACAGACGGTCGCTACGCATTGAATTTCCAGAAGGCCAGCAAAAGCATCAAGCTTGTCATCTCGGCTTCACAAGTCGGGGACTCAGCGATCTATTTCTGTGCCCTGAATCAGCCCACAGTGAGAGGATTGCTGGAGGGAGGTGTACAAAAACCCCATGGTTCTATTTGTGACATCCACCTGCTGTAGGGACCAAGGATAGAAATCACCATCACAGACAGGAAGTGGCTAGGCCTGTGGCAGCACAGGTGTACGGTTTGAAGGAAAACACTCACTCTAGGAAAATACTTGTCTAAATTCATAGACCATTTCCAAAATTATCATTCATCAAAACATTCCAATGACAGAATCTCTGGTTTGAAGTTGCACATACCAAATTTTTGACCAAATTTTGAGGAGAAAGAACAGCCACAATAAGCAATTTACCTTTTGGCTATTAGATTGAGATAGAAGGATTGCTACAGAAATTCAGAAACATATGACTGAAAAATGTTAAAAGTCTGTGTGAGATTCGTTTCGAAGATGGCAGACGAGAAACACTGCCAGACAGAGTGTCTCTGCAGAAAAGACAGATTCTAGCAGAAATTAGAAAAAAGAAGGAAGAAGACGAGCATACAGTGGACGAGGGCCGGAAGGAGGGGTACCTGAGACCCCGGGAGGCTCCACGTGAGGAGGCTGCAGAGGAGAACTGGAGGCTGAGACCACCAGAGCAGCCCGGAGACCAGAGGCAAGGGTAGGTGGATTTGCTGTTTCCCCTCCCCTGCATTTGGGACTGCTGGTGGGCTCCCCAGCGGGTGGAGAGACCTGTGGACACCAGCCCAGAGACGGCCCCGCCAGCCAGCGGTGAGCCTGTAACAGACGTGGCACCAGATTCCCAACTTCCTCCGGGCACCTCCGTGTGCAGAGACCCGAGCTGTGTGGCAGGCGCCATATTGCCTCCTCCTCCCCTCCGCGATCCTACCTGCGGCTGCCCAGAGAGACAATACAGCTACCAGCCAGAGGCACCTCCAGGGAATGGGACTTCCCTTTTGGGACCCTACAGCTGACTAAGGGAACTCAGACTGTGAGCTCCCTACCCGCCCGCCCTCCCAGGTGCTGCTGGCACCTGTTCCCAGGAGAACAGTGCTGACTCAGAGTCTGAGAGACATAGACCCAGCTTGGTCCCTGTGGGTGAATTGGGACCGGAACTCCTCCTCCTGGTGGGGATACAGTTTGAACTCTGGGACCCAGAGGTCGGACCTGCAGACCAGATCCCCTGCACCGAGGGTAGCATTGCCCGGGCACAGAAGGGTTATACGTGAACAGCATACTGAGGTGTGTGTGCCTCCAGGGGCGGATCAGCATCCTAGAGGGCAACCCTCCTCCCAGGAGGAGGCCGTGCGCCCAGCCCAGGTGGCGTTCCTTTGGAGGGAACCTCCCCGACGGCATCACAGTCTGGGAGGCCTGGTGGCTTGTGGTCTGGCCTGCTGGCAGAGGCCCAGGAGTACCTGCGGAGTTAGGGAGGTGGAAAGAAGCGAGCCTGCTCCAGACTGCGGGTTTCAGACAGCCCCACACCCACACCTAGACTTTCTGGCTGAGTGGGACCATTCCAGCCCCAACCTGACAGCTTTCCCTGGAAGCAGAGAATAAAACTTTGATCCCTGCTAATGGCCTGAGGGCAGGCTTACCCAACCCAGCTCCGCCCAGAACAATAGCAGATAACAAGACACAAAATCAACAGCATAGCCTGTTCCGCAAAGCAAACGCCACCTACTGACAGGGACAGCATCTTGCACAGCCTTTCCACGGCACCCACTGACTCAATATACAGGGAGTGGTCCAATTTCACCCACAGACACCACCTAACGCCTCAGAAACTAAACAAGATGTGTGAATACCCAAACAATAACTTAAGGAAAGAAACAACAACTGATCGACATGGGAAGAAATCAGCGAAGAACTCAGGAAATAAGAATAACAAACGGAAAACACACCCCAAAGAGGAGCACCAGCCCCTAGAAACGGAACCCAACCATAATCAGGCAACCATATGACAGAAGAGGAATTTTGTACGTGGATCATAAGAACACTCACACAGCTGCAACAACAACTCAGTAACCAAAACAAAGAAACCACAAAAAGCCTCCAGGATATGGAAAAGAAATAGACACAATGAAGAAAAGTGTAACCGAACTCCTGGAAATGAAGAATCAATTCAAGGAACTACAAAATACAGTGGAAAGTCTCAAGAACAGGGTAGAAAAAACAGAAGAAGGAACTACAAAATACAGTGAAAGTCGTCAAGAACAGGGTAGAAAAAACAGAAGAAAGAATCTCAGAGCTTGAAGATAACACCCTCCAATAAATAAATCAGCCACAGAAATAAGAGCAGAGAAACAAGAGAAAAGAGCAAAGCCTACAAGAGCTGTGGATTATGGAAGAACACCTAATGTGAGGGTCATAGGGTTACAAGAAGGGGAAGAAGACAACACTCAAGTGCAAACGTTTAAGATATGATAGAGGAAAATTCCCAGCCGTGCTCAAAATCTTGATATATAAGTTCAAGAAGCTCAGAGGACCCCTGGAGATTCAACGCAAACAGGAAGACTTTATACATGCAATCATCAGACTGACAAAGTATCAACTAAAGAGGCCCTTCTAAGAGCTGTAAGACAAAAGAAGCAAGTAAACATACAAGGGAAAGCCAATTCGAATAACATCAGACTCTCTAATGAGACTTTGACAAGCAAGGAAGACTGGGCCCATCTTCTCACCTCGTTTGAAACAAAACAATGCCCAAGCCTAGAATAATTATTCCCTGCAAAATAACGTTCATATATGAAGAGAAATAAAAACATTCTCAGACAAGCAAAGGCTCAGAGAATTCACCAGTCGAAAGACCAGCCGCTAACAAGAAGTACTTAAACAGCATGTACGCACGGGAGATATCATAATAATAACGCACGAATATGAAAACAACTCAACCAACCAGATTATTAAAGGCCAGATATTACAATGGCTCAAGCAGAAATCATAAGCAACAACAGTCCAACAACAGGAATAACAGTACATCTACCTTACCTATCCAGGTTCCCTGCAAAAATGTCGAATGGCTTAAACTCTCTACTGCAAAAGACATAGCGCTGAATGGATAAGAAAATACAGGCCCAAAGTACTGCTGTCTTCAGGAAACACATCTAACCTGCAAGGATCAGTATAGACTAAAAATAAAAGCGGGAGATCAATATTCCAAGCAAATAGAAGCCAAAAAGAGGCTGGTCTGGCAGTTCTATATTCAGACGATTTGAGTTTTTAAACCAACAAAATAGTGAAAGCAAAGATCTTGGATTTAAGTCTGGTGAAGGCACAGTCCAACAAGAAGAGATAATCAGATTTAAGATATATATGCCACACTTATGCACCCAGATTCATTAACATAACCTTACTGGAGCTAGGCACAGATGAATTAATACAACTCCATAAGTCGCTGGGATTTCAACACCCTACTGACGCCACGAGACAGATCCTCAAAACAGAAAATAATAAAGAAAGTAATGGACTTAAACAAAACTCTAACAGGTTGGGTCTACAATGAATACAGAACATCTACCCAAAATCCACGAATATACGTCTTCCTCATCAGCTCACGGACATCTTTCTAAATTGACCATATCCTAGGACACAAGAAAATCTCAAGAAATTAAAAAATAGAAATCAACATGTACCTTCGTCAGATCAGCACGCTGGACATTAAACTAGAACATCAACCCTAACAGAAACACATTTCACACAAAACCGTGAAATTAAACAACCTACTACTAAATGAATTACTTCTAAATGAAGAAATCGAAACAGAAATAATAAAAATTCTATGAAGAAAATTGACAATGGAGAGACCAAGTGTATCAACTCTCCTGGGACACAGCTAAAGCGTTCTGAGAGCCAATATTATCCTCCATAAAGTGCCTATGAACCAAAAGACAAGAAAATCACCAATAGACAAATCTAATGAAACGACTCAAAGAGCTGAAAAAAAAGCAGACACCCCAAACCCAGCCAGAAAATGAAATCAACAAGATCAAATCACGAACTAAATGAAATGAAAAACAGGGCAGCTATTCAGGAGATTCAATAAAACAACAAATTGGTTCTTGAAAAAATAAACAAAATTGACAACCATTGGCTGAAGGCTAAGCGAAATAGCAGAAAGAATCTCTAGTAACTCCATCAGGAATAAAAAAAGGAGATGATCACCCAACTGATCCCAAAGAGGATACAAAGATACCAATTTAAGGATACTACAACCAAACTTCTTTCTATGCACACGAAAACTTGGAAAAACTGGCTGGAGGAGAAGGGACAGATTCTAGAAACACACATGCCTCCCTAGCTGAACAGGAAGAAATAATTCCTGGAACAGACATCTCAACGCTGGATATAGACAGCCAATTAAAAATTCGTCCTAACAAGAAAAGTCCGCCGTCCAGATTGGCCTTCCACCCGAATCCTTACAACACCTTTTACAAAGAAGAACTAGTACCTATCTTGCAGAAACTATTCCACAACATCGAGAAGAACGGAAACCTCCCTGAAACCTTTTATGAAGCAAATATTACTCTGATACCAAAACCAGGAAAGGATGCAACAAAAAAAGAAAACTACAGACCAATATCCCTAATGACTATAGATGCAAAAATATTCAACAAAATCTTAGCTAACCGAATCCAGACGCTTATCAAAAAAATAATCCACCACGACCAAGTGGGCTTCATCCCAGGGATGCAGGGATTGTTCAACATACGTAAATCTATAAATGCAATCCACCACATAAACAGAAGTAGAAACAAAGACCACATGATTCTTTCAATAGATGCAGAAAAAGCTTTTGACAAAATTCAATTTTTTGGCATCAAAATAAACTCATACTAATTTATTATAACATGCTGAACAGGATCTAATTTGAGGCAGTAAGAAAGATAAGGCATCCATTCAAAAAGAGCCCCTATCAAAGCAACATGAATTCTGCCAAAATTGAAGCAAGAACAAACATTCAATTTATGGTGAATTCTTGAATGGAAGAATTGTGACATCACTGATGCTTTATGTAAAAGTCTTGGGGTATAATTTTTCAAAGAAATCACTAGTTTTTAAATAGATTACTCGTTTTAAGTAGGGATGAGACAATGTTGAAGATGTAGCCTGCAGTGGCA